ATTCAATGTATACAAATATCAAAAAGTAAATGTTAATATTAAAATATCGGTGATCCATATCAAAAATTGTAAATGGATCCCAAACTTCACTGTTTCCTGTCTTTAAAATGAGCTTTAAAATTAAAATTATGAAATGAGCTGATTTATTTAATTAATTTGTTAATTTGTTTATAAAAAAATAATTTAATTTAATTAATTCAATATAAAAAATAAAAAAAACTATTTAATTTCGGGTTTTATTCGATTCTTGGCCTGAACCGAGATTCGACCCAAATTAATTGGTTCTCGATTCGGGTATTCGTTCGGATATTTAACTTACGAAAAACTGCTCAATTCGATTCGAATCCAATTCAATCCGATTCTATTCGATTCGAGACTTTTGGAATTAGTCACCGACTTCTCCTGTTTGAATCGTTTGATAAATGATTAACCCCCAGTACAGTACCCAATAGCATTTCTTCTTCCCNCGATTGGATTCGGACTTCTGGAATTAGTCACCGACTTCTCCTGTTTGATAATTGATTAACCCCCTGTACGGTACCCAATAGCATTTCTTCTTCCCCAAACAACGCAAGAAGATCACCAAAGCCTCTTCTTCACAAATTCTCCGCTCAATTACAAATTACCTACACACTGTACATATTCTATATTCCATTCTTCGGAGCAATAAGCAAAAAACCCTAAGAAATGAAAATGTTGCTTGAACTTCCTCGCTTAACCAATTCTCTTCGACTCCCATTCGACGCCGATCAAGCTTATCTGCAACGAAGACTGTTCCTTCAAAACCTTAAGTTAAACAGGTAAAAGGGTTTTTTGTTCTTCAATTTTTTCAAGTTCTGAAATAAATTGTTTTTTATGATGAATTCAAACATGAATTTGCTCCATGATTTAGTTCCACGGCTTCAGTTGAAGAGTCAGAACTTGCTCGAAAGGTCGTTTATGGATGGGATAAAGGTGCTTTCTTACTCTATAGCCTCTTGTGATATGTATTTGTATATATTGAGAAAAAAACTTTTGAAGAATAAATTCATTTTGTATTTGAATTCTGTAACTAAAAGGATTGGATAAGAGTAATCTCGCATGATTTTATGGAAGTAATTCATGTTTAATCAGTGCAGTTACAAGCAATTTAAATTAATTTTTGTATGTGCATTTTGTACAAGTAACACTACTATGATATGATTATGTGAGGAATTTGGTAAAGGTGTGAATTTTGTGTATTTTATTATGGTTTTGTGAATGTGTGCGATTAAGTAATTTATGTTTAATCTGTGCAGCTTCTTCCGAGGTACGACAGGCCTACAAGAAATTTATTGGAGCAGTGGTTGAGTTGATGGGTGGTGAAGTGGTGTCAGAGGAGTTCCAAGAAGTGGCATTATGTGTTTATAGGCTATTTAGTGCAGCCGGTGAGGAAGACGTGGATGTAGACAACAAGAGGATTGAGAAGAAGTAAGGCATTCAATTTTTACTTCTATTGGCTGAAAATTTCAAAATATTATTGTTGGACTGTCATGGAAAATGTTGTAAAGCATGATAATGAATTATATGTTATAATTATGCTGCTGAATTTCTCTTAGTTACTTGTGAGATTATGAAATTGAAGAGCTTATAATTGAAATTATGGGAGCCGTTTGAATAGAAACTATAATTTTTTTCTCCTGATATCTCAGCTGCTTGCTAATGTCTTTTTGTCAAACACGTGGAATGATAATTTTTCATGGGTAAAAAGACAGCAGTAAATGTATCCATTTTGCACAGTGCATTTTTAAGCGGTAGAATGTAGAAATTCTGCTAGATTGAATAAAGTAAACCTAGCTGAAGTGACAATGTCTAGGGACATTGCTGCACACGATTGTGTAAATTGGTATGTGTGTCTTTGCGGAAGTCAATGCCACAGAGTTAAGGAGAAGAAAAGGTGGAGGCACAGACTAAGGAACAAGGAGAAATCAATTACTGATTAGGAACGTGCATGAATATCCACGTGGTTCTTGGGAATGAACTATTATATGTCCTGTACTATATGTCCATTAGACATCAGCAAGATTGAGTGAAACCATTAAAATGAGATATTACTGTCGTTGCTTTAGTTAATTTGGAATTCTGCTTGATTTCTAAGCTCAACTAGTTATGATTTCTTACACTTCTGCTGCCTGGAAATGTGAGGGTGTAGGTATTTTACATAAAACATTGGTTTACTTTTACTCAAAAGTCATATTAGTGCTGTCTTATTTAGCCCCTGTTTGGTGCCCATTGTTTTAAAACTCTTTTTTCTACAGGAACATTTTCAACCACACATTCACACAATAAAATATTCTGCATATAAACCCAAAATTTTTCCCCATTTTTTAACCACACATCCTCCTAAAAATACTATTCAAAACCATTTTTTTTTGAAATAACGGGCACCAAACAGGGGCTTAATTTCATGGTAAGAAATGTTGTACCTTTTCTTTTTTTTTAATTGGAGGTTCCCCTGCTTAGTATCTTTGGATACTGAGATGGTCCTTTACTGAGCTCAATCAGCCTAACCTTGAACCTTTAATCAGTATGCTCACGAGGACTTTATGACCCAGGATGAGTGTCCAGTGGCACTGTTCATAGCTCATGATAATTTTAGGGGAACCTATGATTTTGCCTCAATGCTCCTAATGACACCTGCATGTATTACAGCTTTCAATATGTCCAGGCCCATATGGTTTGTAATTTCTTTGCTCGGGGAAAAGCCTTAGACAGTTCCTGATTGGCCGGCTTTATTTTTAAGTGAGCGATTATTTCTGTACTTAATCTAGACCAAAAAGTTACCGTCCCAGGCAGCAAGGTAACTTGAAAAGGGGATGCCATGCATACAAGACACACAACTTGTTCTCTAGTTATGCAGAGGGTTGAAAAATTTAATCATCACTTGTCAGTACCATTACTAGTCTTCCAAGAATGATCCAAAAGGCTTGGCAGTGGACTTTGGAAAACAGAAATTTTGGAAAACTAGTAAATGCGCTTCTAACCCTTTTTCAACTACAACGCGAGTCATCCTTATAATATATAAATGTACAATTTGGAAGAATTGAATCCGATACCTGCCAACGTGTTTGTGCCCCACTATTTTGATCACGTGTTGACTGTGTCTATGTCACGCTGTGTTCGTGCTTCTTAAGAGTGCTAATAAATTGCTGACCTTTTTATTTCTTTAGTATGCTACATGTTCTATATTTTTTTACCTTAAGAGTGGTCATATTCCATCTAAACAAAAATTTGGATGCATAATTTCACAATCAATATCGCATGACGTATTGTGTTGTTATCAAGCTGTACTATTCATGATCTTGATAGTTTTCTTTGTAAACCTTTCATTGTGGTCAGGCTAAATTTAATGTAGCTTTTGTGAATGTTAGGTTGGAGTTGGAAAAACTATTTGGTAATGCTGTTTCAGATGCAAACTTACTGAAAGTTGCATCCCTGGCAAAGAGTCTTTCTGTTTTACAGAATAATGAGCATGGGACAGTGTCTTCATCAGAATCACAAAATGGAAATAACGAGGATTTGGAATTTGGTTCAGACCTGGTTTTCCAACATCCTACTAGGTTTCTAGTCGATATCTCTTTGGAGGATGCGGAATTTCCCATGGAGGAAACAAGCACATCTTCTCATCATCAGGAATGGTCTGAGTATGGTGACTCTGCAGACTTCCAACCATCTGTTAATGAAAGAATTTTTGACTTAGAATGGCTGAGAGATGCATGCGATAAAATTGTCAAGAAAAGTACTTCACAGTTTCCTCGAGATGAACTGGCAATGGCCATTTGCCGAGTTCTTGATTCAGAGAAACCTGGTGACGAGGTACAAAGAAAATATTAATTGTTCTTCAGTGAACTTAGCTATTGGTACTTTTTAATACATTCATAGTTTTGATGTGAAGATAGCTGGCGACTTGCTGGATCTTGCTGGTGATAGTTCATTCGAAACAGTTCAAGACCTTATCCTGGTATGAATACGAATAATTCATCAAGTTAGCTTGTGTTAATATTTAGTTTGGGGAGCATTTTTGCTTTTTACCCATGTATTTTGGAAGGAGTGAGGTATGAAACTTATTTTATCAGTGACTGCAGTTATGCTTTTGCACACTTTGAAATTATCTGTAGGATAACGTTCTCAACATATTACGACATGCCATCCTTGTTTCTATCACTAAGCTATTCGGTGGATCACACAATTTAAGATAGTAAAAAGAATAACCATTTCTATGCAATCTAGCTACTTGTGCTGCGTAGTTTGAAAATTTGCTCCTTTTCTTTATCCATCTGAACTTTCTTTCCTGTTTACAGCATAGAAAGGAACTTGTTGAAGCTATCCATCGGGGACTGCAAGTACTGAAATCTGACAAATTAGCTTCAAGCACACAACCACGCATGCCCAGTTATGCCACACAGGTAACAAACGGAACTTTTTGTTTGTTGGAACTTCGAAGCTTTTAAAACACATTTTCTTGGTTGGTGATTAGATTACAGAACTAGATATCTATAAATTACTTTCTCCTATTTGTATAGGTTACTGTTCAAACAGAGTCTGAAAGGCAAATTGATAAACTTCGCCGCAAGGAGGAGAAGAAGCAGAGACGTGGAACAGATTATGGGATTGAGAACGACTTATCCTCTCTGACTTTTAGTTCTTTACTTCAAGCAAGTGAGAAGAAAAATCTATTTGATGGTTTGGTTGGGCAGGGTGATGGGCTGCACACAGCCCTTCCTCAGGGCACTGTAAGGAAGCATTACAAGGGATATGAAGAAGTCATTATTCCCCCTACACCAACTGCACCAATGAAGCCTGGGGAGAAACTGGTATGTTCCGGATATTCTGCTGTGTGATATTTCGATTACAAAGGGTTGACACAATTATAATTAAGAAAAGCCATTAACCATCTTACTGATGATATATTGTTATTTTCTTTTTCCCAGAGGCATGCCTTTGTATAGTTTCTTTTCTATATTTATTATCTTTTTGTTCTAGGATTCACTTAGCTATAACTGATGTATTGGGTGCTAATTATTAATAGTATGATGGACATGTAATTTGATTTCGTGGATAATGGCATTTTTCCATCTGATTTAGAGTATAGGTCAAATATTTCAGAAAACATATTCTGGACTGAGTATTCACCGCGACAGCCTCATGATTACTAATTTTTCTGATTCGTGTTACTTCTTTTCTTTTTATGGATGCCGATGCTGACATCGGCAACAAACTTAGTAATTGGTTGTCAATTACTGTTGGGTTTCATTTTGTTCCTACAGTTACTGTTTGTTGTTATCTATTGTCAGATTGAAATAAAGGAGTTAGATGACTTTGCACAAGCTGCTTTTCATGGCTACAAGTCTTTGAACCGCATCCAGAGCAGAATATACCAAACAACTTACCATACTAATGAGAACATACTGGTGAATTAACCTCACGTTTCGTCCTTTTTTTCTTTTTTTAAGAAGTTCTTGGAAAGTAGAGCTTTTGATCACTCTTTCAATTACCTGCAGGTCTGTGCCCCCACAGGTGCTGGAAAAACAAATATAGCTATGATCGCTATTTTACATGAGGTATACACTAGGCCTCACCTTTCTCCCATCCTGTGATATAAATTTTTCCCTCTGAAATAATTGCATGCGAAGCTGTAGAAAAAAATTGCATAGTAAATGATAAAAGGAAGTAGGGTGACTAAACAAGAGTAAATGCAAGAGAGGAGGCACTATTGTCATGTCATAACCCATAATTTCAAATTTATAAAATGGACTGGGAGCTAACAAAGAAATAAATATTAAAACAAAAACACCGTTCAAGTTGCACTATACAATTAAATTAGAAGTATTGTTGTTCTTTCATTCCATGTATCGAAGGATTCTTCTCTTTTGATTATTTTGCCAAATATTTTGTTGATTGCTACCTTAATATGGTTAGTACATTAAACAAGTGCCTTTTGCTACTGGTGCTTCCTTATGAGAGGCTATGACCTTCGGCTTTCCTTATTTAGTTTAAATTGTGTAGAGCACCGAAGCAAGTGCAAAGTAGAAGGTTTATTATAATCAGGTACAATAGTCTCTAAGATGGTAATTTTTTCCCTCATAATTTCAGAACTGATGTTTTAGACGGATTCTCTGTGCTCTTTAGTCATTGATGTCAACATCCAAATTTCGGCAATCTGAGTAGAAGGCAAATTGGATAATTTTCGGCCCTTGAGCATTTTGGGAAAGAAAACTAACAAATAAATCCCTGAAGAAATTTATTCCTTTTCTAAAACTAACAAACAAATCTATGAAGAAATTTATTCCTTTTCTAAGGGTACTTTCAGCTTTAGTTTCAGTTATTTGGTTGGAGATAGTGATAATATTTGACTACGGGAGTGTCAAGTAGAGAAATATAAGATTATAAGTAGCTTACCTCTGCATGGTGGACAAGTTTTCAGGGTAAAGGTTTGAAGCCATTCAAGGAATACATAATTCTTGTCTTCTCGTTAGCCACCACTTTGATGCTGTCCATTTGAGGCACTAAATTTATAGTCCAAGAATAACTAATCAAGAAGGGAGTGCATTTGTTTTTAAAACTTTTTCGAAGAATTAGTCTAAATTGAAGCAAGTAAAGACTAAATAGATTAATTCAAATAATAAAAGCAAAAATATAAAAGCGAGAGAAGATGATGCAAACAATATAATTGTGGAGGTTCGATCTAAAACAATGATCTACGTCCTCCGTTACCAAGGTCTCCGGCATGAGCAAGACCTTTTCACTATGTTGATTGACTTATGGTGCAATCCAACTCTTTACAACGCTTCTAGTCACTTACAACAAGGAGCACCGATTATTGTACAATGTTGAGCTTTACGGTATTAAAGGAATCAGAGGATATTTAATTTATTTACTTTGCATTTATAACCCGCATATAATCCGGGATTTCTTTGATTGTATAGCATAAAATCTTTCCTTGTATATCATTGTAATATTCTATAAATTAACGGAAATACATATGAGAAGATCATTAAGCAAAATCGTGACATGGTATTAGAGCCCTAACCTCTTCTGGGTTTAATTTTGGGCGACGTTTTCATCATAGTCAGCGGCTGCATCAGTGGTTGCTTCTCGAGTTCTCGACGTCACCTCTAGTCGCGTGTGAAGGGTGATTCTCTATTTCCGGCGCAACTAGGGTTGGGTGTTTGGGCTGGAGATTCTTCTTTCTCCGTCTTCTTCTTCCTCCGTCGTCTGCGTCGCTCGGCATCAGCAAGTTTTTGGATTCTTTCTTCCTCCGTCGTTTGAGCTCTTCTTTCTGCATCGCCTCTGTGAGATTGATCAGAATCGTTGTCCTTCCTCCGTCGTGTTCTTCTCTCGCCGTTTGCAGCGTCTTCTCTATAAGCCCACAGTTGTGTCGTTGAATTGATTGGGCGTGGGAGTGGATCTGTTGGGCCGTAAGTTTGGGCAGTCAGATTGTTAATTTTTTCATTACTGGGCTTGTGTTGTTGGGCCGTGAGTTTTTGGGCTTGGGCAGAATTTGTTGTTAATTTAATCTTTGTTGGGCCTATTTAATCTTGTTGGGCTAATTTATTGAGTTGAGCAGAACTTACTTGGTGATTTGTGGTTAATTTATTTTGGCGGACTATATACTGTGTCATCATGTCAATTGAGAAGATTGAGTGCATTTGTATTCGTTTTAATGGGAAG